CGCCCCCACACCCACACCCCCCCCCACCCACACCCCCACACCCACCCCCACCCCCCACACCCACACCCACACCCACACCCCCACCCACACCCACACCCACACCCTTCTGTAAATTACCTCGTACAGAACGTATATCACGTACTGTTCGACGGCGAGGTTGTAATAATTTGGACATATTAGAACGAAGTCGATCATGGATAGCACGGTGTTGGGATGTTTGATTTCGGAAGAGATCTTTTAATAAGTCTTGCAACTTGTTATCTGTTAGTTCCTCGTTTTCTTCTACAAGTAATGTGTTCTGTTGGAGATGATTTGAAGAGTGCAACAAAGAGAAAAATCTCTTAATACGTTCACTGTATTCAGGGTATGCTTTTGTGCGATATTCTTCAATCGATTCAGTAAGGGATAGCCAGTTGACAAACAGTCGCTGTTCGTTGACCAGTAAACAAAGAACCGTGAAATTGAAACTAACTAATGAAAGATTCTCATCTTTTAATTGAAGAAACACTTTAAGTAATGCTGGCTCGAAACATACAGATCCATTCATCATAATCCAAGTGGCAGGTTCAACTATTTCATCTTTAGTTTGTGCATCTTCGTTAGCTTTTAGCTCAAGTAAATTCAGAATATCTTTTTTAAATATTTGTAATTGAGCAGAATCCGGTATATCACTTATACCAATCGGAAAAATTTCGAATCCATGGCAACATTTCTCTGTGGAGAGTGATTTGGATGGATCGACGACTTCTTGGGTTTGACGAATGAACAGCTGATCACTAATATTCATCAATGAATCATAATTGGTGTAATTGATATTCTGAACTGGCGAATTTGTTCCTGAATAATCTCTGATAAGATGTTTGACTCGTTGATACACCATAATGTTCGCTGAACCCGCGATAATTATAAAATTGATCCGTGCTAAAGGTTGGCCGAAAAGTTGACAATGCGAACAAGGCGAGTCAGTCATGTTTTTTTTATCTAAAATATGCTAGAATAACACCAACAGATATCAATGGTTCATCTTTCGTTAGAATAGTAATATCTAGTATCCCGATCTTAACTTAACCACGTAACCAAGGAAAACGTAAGTGGGTCGTTGCCTATTTTGTTTGGAGATTTGTCAATTGGAATTTTTATTACTTTTCATTTTAAAATTAAATGGATTTAACCATTCCTTTTGGATAAACTTTTGTCGGCTAAGGCTGTCAAACTCGACGTTTCTTAGTTGGAAAGAGCGAACTCCGCCGGATCTTTCTGCATAATTCATTTGAGTCCACAGATATTTTTACGTCTGTTTATGCTAGTGTGTATTGATTTCATGTTTTCTCCACAACTTTTTCTGGCTTTGGAATGCTCATTATATCTAATTCTAGCAGATAATGTGCTGTATATCGGGTAAATTTTCGGCATCTCCGTATGGCTATTTTGGTCCCTTTTTCAACAAGATCGCTTTCGTCTATTATAATTTTACTGTATATACAGCTGAACTCCCGCTACAAATAGGTATGACAAGAATAAGATTACCAGAGAGAGCTGTATGAAAAATAAAATAAAATCAACAGATGGTCGTATAAACAGACATAAAAGTTTCTGTGGACTCTAATGAGTTATACAGACAGATGCGCTAGAGTTCACTCTTTTCAGCTATGCAAAGCCGAGCTCGATAGCTTTAATCAGTCAAAATTTATTAAAAAGCAAATGATTGACTCCATTTCACTCTGAAACGAACATTTGTAAGATTTGTCTACTAAAATTTAACTTTTTCAGCATTGCTGATTTGTGTTGACAAGAATAGTATCTTTTTTCTTTTCTTGTCTGAATTATGTACCTTTTGTCTTGTTCTTTGTGTGGGCGACCAAAAAAAAAGGGAAGGAAAGTATAGCCCTCCGTTAACAATAAAAGATCCAGGGCCTTCTATTATGTTTAAGCAGAAAAATTTTTAAGGGGTTCTTGTATTATGATTTTCGTATTTTTGCGAATTTTTAGAGAAGATGCTTCCATGCAGTACCGTGCACCTTTTACAGGACATTCTGACGACAATATTTCATCATGATAGTTTTGTAGTCCTCGTCGAGTTATGTAGAAACAGGCACTCAGTTTTGATTCAAATCGTGCACTAACTCTAGTAGAGCAGACCAAAATGTCGATTTTGTAGGAAATTGGCTCTCAAAATCCGTCTGCGGTATTTGTCGAGAACACTCTTTAGAGATTTCGATTTCACCCTTAAGTAGAGCATCAAAACCTTCCTAAATAAAATAACTTTCGAAATTATATCTAAAAAATTCAATGTTCGGAAGCATTTGCAAAATTTAGAAAAATGGGACTTAATCATAAAATTGGGGTGCTAGTAAAATTTATATAATCAGTTAAAGAGCCTAACATATTTGCACCAAAATGATGCTTATACAATGCTTATGCATATGTAATGTGCCAAAAGTTGTTGAAAGTTTTGATTGGTGCGGATATATGAATGTGAAGCGTCGAGGGATCTCAAAAAAAGTCTTTCATTGGGCTTCGATTTTCTCAAAAGCTACACATTAGAATTTCTTGAAATTTTTCTCTCGAGTTGATCTTAATGAGCGCTACTAGTGATTAAAACATGAGACTTACCATTGCAAGATTGTAAGAGATGAATGTCTTCCAAGATAGCTTAGATTTTTTACTTTTCCAAGGATCCCTGTACGGAACCCCAGACAGCCGAAAAATTAGATTCTCAAATTTTGATCCGAAACTTCGCATAAATGGAGGGCTCACCTAGACAAGCTTGTACAGGGAATTTAAGAAATTTTGAACGAGATTTCATCAAGATATGCAGGTCTCAAAAAATATGCTATTTAGACTACCGTTAAAGAGGACTTCTATTAAAGGGTACACATCTTAGCAAGACATCGTTGAAAACTTCTGAAGGTTTCTATGCAAGCTAGTCTAGCTGTAGTGTCTATATGCGCAAAGTTTTGGGCCAAAATTTGAGAATTTAATTTTGCAACTAGAAGAGGTCTCCTACAGAAATCTTCTGAAAAGCACTGAAATTTAAGCTAACGTAAAAGCGCTCCATCGTCTACAATCCTGAAATTCGAAGCCTCATATTTTAATCACTAGTAGCGCTCATTAAGATCGACTAGAGAGAACAATTTCAAAAAATTGTGATACGTAGTTTTTGAGAAAACCGAAGCCCGATGTGAGGTTTCTTGAGATCTCACCACCCGGCAGATCCATATACCGTAACCAATCAAAAGTTTGAGAAGCTTCAGCATATTGCAATTGAATAAGCATAGTATGAGCTTCATTTTGATTCAAATATGTCGCGATCTTTAACTGATTGTATAAATTTTATTAGCAATACAATTTCAGCGTAAGTGTCCTATTTTTCTCAAATTTGCGTAGGCTCTCAAATCTTGAATTCTTGAGATTTAATTTCGAAAATTGTTTTATTAAGGCAACTTTCGATACTCTATCTAATGGTCAAATTGAAATTTCTAAAGAATGTCCCAAAAAATACAACAGACGGATTTTGGAGATCAATTTTCGACAAAATCGACATTTTAGTCCACTGTGCTGGAGTTAGAGGACAATTTGAATCAACACTATATATCGACTCCTACATAAATCGACGAGGACTACAAAACTAACATGATGAAATCCTTCCGAGAGAATGTTCTGTATAAAGTCAGTGGATCTGCTTGGAAGTACCTTACTACGTCGTCAACTACAATGTATGTAAAATAACACAATTATCTTATCAATGAAAGGTATGTTAAAATAAATGAAGCATCAAGAACAACACTGATAGCACAAGATGAAAAACCGTTTTGTTATTGTTACTGATTCATCTTCTTATGTTGTTCATTACGATAGGATTGAAGCTATTGTTGGTAATCAAGTACGTCCACCAATTATTTCTGCAGCAGAACACAGAAGAATAAGATCCGTTAAAGGAATCAATAGTGATGTGTTTACTAATTTTATTGAAAACGTATTACGCTCTTCAATTAGTGAACTTGATCCTTGTTCTATGTATCTAGTATTAGATAAATTAAATTTTCAAAATGTATCAAAAAATGAACAAGCTTTTCATAATGTCGAATACATAGGACTGATAGAAACATTGGTTTCACTTCATCAAGCAGCAAAAGGTATCAATCTATCAAACAACATTTATTACTTACCGAAGAAATTTTAATTATGACGATGATTAATGAATGGTATAATACAAACACAGAAATTAATAAACAACATTATGATCGTTGTGCCACTAAATATCAACAGGATGTAGATAGAGATTGACCATTTCCATTTAAATATCGTCATTTCTCATAAATTAATAGGAACAATATGATTTTGTAGTTTTCGAGTCATTTTTTCTCAAGCATTGAAGTTCATTTGTTTTTGGTATATTTTATATTGGAGGCTTCCTTCCATTAAAACAGATGTATATATAGTAGTTTGCATCTGCTGCACAAAGTATATGTAAAAATAAAAATAATACTGTGTAGCTTTAATACACGATTTAAAACAAAAAAGTGGACCTGACTTCTGAGGGGGTGGATAACTTACAGTAGACGACTGTGTACTTTAAGTTAAGCATATTGATCCTATTACGATAAAATGAATGTTTTGAATATCAAACCAAGTAATTACAAATATAAGCTTCCAATAGCACACATAGATCTAGATATTCGAGTTTCAAAAACTTCAGTTTGTTCTGTGCCGACGCTATGAAACTACATCAATAATTGGTTCCTTTTTTCGTTATGGTTAATTGGATTATGATTATTCACATTAGAAAAAGACAATATCAAACATATTAAAGAGCACTTTCTAGGCAGTTTATGACAGCATTTTGTTTCAATTATGATATTAGTAAACAAAAAATTTTAATTGATATCAAATTACTTTTGAATATGAGCGATATTGTTTTCTTCTATAAGACTACTCATATTGCATCCTACCGTAAGGAAGAAAGAGAACTAAACGTTGACAGAATTTCATAGTATGAATATGTATCAAACTGAAAATATCTTGAAATTTAAAAACATCGGTGTATACGTGTTAGTGGCAGTACATATTTTAAATTGATTCATCTATGAGTAAAAAAGCATTAATCTACTTTAATAATGAGTTTTCTGAATTTAGAGTAACATGGCCTTCATTTCTCAATTAATACAAAAGAAAGCGTACAAAAAATGCCTAATGACAGACTCTTTTAAGAAGTCTAACACTCTGTTTACAAAAAGTATGCGCAAACAAATCATCAATAAATAAATAAATACATACGTATATTACAGGTGATATGGGCACTGAGTTGAGATTAGGAATGTCAATTCATGTTTACCCTTCATTTAATTTACGCATAAATTAAATGATAAGTGATTTATGTTTATTATAAATGTAAATTATTTTATTGCAAAATTTATATTTACAAATAAATATAAATTTAAAATTTTACGTTTACGAATAAATATAAATTTCTCATAATTTATATTTATTATAAAGTAAATGATAAATGACACTCCTAGTTGAGACTGAATGCGTAAACGAAACAAAAATTGTATGCATATATAATGAACCATAGAATAATTGATTTTTGCTTTTTGTTATGCTCATGTTTTTAAAATCCCATGACTTGAATTTATTGGTTTAGACTTCGTAATGTTTTTTATTTCTTAGCGGCGTTGTGATGTCGCACACAGGCGCTAACTTTTTTTCCATTTATAATTTTTTTGTTTCTTGTTGAGTATATTACTCGATTGATCATCATGAGAAGATGATCTATTGGTTTTATCTTTTTCTTTTTCTCTCTATGTTGTTGTTAAGCTTCTTCCTTCTTCATAATCTCTATAAATGTGTTGTCTTTTTCTTTTTTCAGATTATTGTGAGTTAGGTGTGGATGAATCAAGAAGATAAAGATACACCCATACCCTTTATCTTATATTAGAATTCAAACGTCATTTTATTCCAATATAATTAGGCTTATACGATTCGATTTAGGATGTGGGTCTAGATCTGAGTGGGTCTGGATGGGTGTGAGTTGTGGATGTAGAGAAGTGTTCACATTCACACCCCACGCGCACCCTTTTCGACATTTTCAATTCGGACCATATTCAGGAGAACCGAATTTACCGTATATATACTCAAAGAAGAAAGCATTTTATTCGTGTATTCAACTGTGTCTTAAATCATGATTATCAATATTGATAAAATCCTTTTTTTTCCAGCATCTTTAGTTTTTATTCTTTTTCATTCTCTGTAAACTGATGTGTATTTCGTGCAGTATGACTGTTAGCGGGTTCACCTCCTTGTTGTTACTTTTCTATGTTATTTCTTTTTTTTCTCTTTTTTTTCTCTTTCTTGTTGTTAGATCTCTTCTGATGTTATATAACCTTGATCACTCTTTATTATTTGTCCTTAAGTTTGACCCTTGATCTAGGTAGTCGAGATATACATATATATATTCTTTTTTTTGTCCCTCTCTACAGAAGGGCAGATATCTGTATAATTGTACATGTGTGTACGGACATTTCTTTTTTGAATTTGGAATAAAATAAAGGAGGTCGAACATCAGACCTCTAATAATGACTATACAAATACATAAATAAAACTATGAGCTTAAATGAATATGCTGCGTGGCAATGAAAATACGACCATAGAAAGCTTTTCTTTCCTGAGGTATTACATTTTTTTTCATATCTCCGTCGTTTCTCCTACGTTCAGACAAGATATGAATATATGCTAAAAGTACATTGCAATGTGCGTCACATAGTTAGTTTTATATGATGAAAATACGTTGTTTCTTTTTACTTTTTACATCAAATGAATATGACGGGTTTTCTTGTTTATATTAATGTTAGTTCTTTTTACTTCGAAAAATGAAACAGAAAACATTAAAAAACAAATCATTTTAACTGATTGTGAATTGAATAAAGATAGAAAGCGTTTATGCTCGAAATGACCTTGCTCAGACGCTGTAATCGGAAGTTTAGTTTCTTCTATTTATATTATTACCTATGATATCTTCTGTCTACGTTGTATTGAAGCAGTAGACGAAAAATGATTACTTTCCAATTCTCCGTATTATTATCAGACGGAAACTAGTGAACGAGATTATACTTGGTCATTACTATAATATCAACAACTGATGACTTGCTTCAGTTAATAATCACAGCAATACAATTATCTATAGAACTCATTGAAATTTACTTTTCTTTTTCTCAATCACGTAAAACATCAGGAAAAAAGTTCAGAACAAGCTTAACGATAGTCATTTCCTGAAACATATTTCTCCAAATTTTGATTTTTTCTATCAGTGATCACTCTCAAACCGAGGAATAAATAAATACGAACCGAAATGTACTCGAAGTTCATTGAGCCTAATTTATTTTCTGTTTATAAATTTTCTTTTTCTCTCATTTATCCTTCGTCCAAATTTGCTATCAATAACAAAACAATACAAAGTATTGTAATGTGTACAAAAAGAATCGATTATTTATGATTGAAATTGTCGCACATACTAGGTTTTTCATTTTAATTTGTTTAGATTCAAAATAAGACGAAAAATAAAACGATTGATTTGAACTTATATTAATACTCGTATATTTATTTGATTTCAATAGTAACATTATTTTCTGAGAATCGAAGTTGTCTTGTAATGATATTATTTATGAGTGAATGAATGTATTTTGCTTCATGAATTACTTGCTTTTAATTGGAATGCTTGTAAATGTAACCATCGAGCTTATGTGAAATTTGATTTTTCAGCAAAATCAAATGGATAAAAACAACATTAATTTCTGAAGAAATAAACAGATATACTTACACTGTGACATAATTCACATGCTGTTTTAGTGTATATGCGTCAGAGTACCATGTTTTTTTAAATTTTACACTTGTAAACTATTAAACTGTTTGAACACGTCGTTTACTAATTAAATTATAAAGAATACGTATAAGCTATCAGTAATTTACATTTATAAAAAATGTAACGTGTTTCTTTTCTTAACTTACGTAAAGCTAGAAATGTCAATTTCTAGAAGTTAAATTTATGTGTTAGTATAGATAATTTCTTATAACTTCTTTTTTTGATTTTAGTGTGATTAACTTCATGAGTATTTATAACTTTATTATATAATAATCAATATTTTTATTATTTTTTATTTTATTGATGAAAATATTAATTACTTCATAGAATAAAAAATATAAAACGTGGAAGAAATTTCGGAGATATTCATTCAGAGCTCAGCGTGGAACGAAAAATTTTGTGGCTACATGGGATAGGACATAAAACTTTTTCGTTCCATCCCATGGAAAAGCTGAAATATCGAATACCTTTTAAAAAGTAAATGTTATTTAACTATCATTGCTCCATTCAGACTATGAATTATTATACTATTTCATGTTATATTTTATGATTTGATTAAAATGAAATTTACAGTTTGTACTCCTGTTTGTTTTTGCTTCTTTACAATAAAGTAGAGTCCTGCATTGGAGTCAAATTATTTGTTTGCTGAGAATTCAGTTTTAGTGTAAGAAAGTTTCTGACATTCAGATTCTAATCTCTGATATTCAATCTTTGAGGTAATACATTCAGAGTATTCTAATGATATTTCATCAAGGAGTACCATTATGAGATGTCGTTAAAATTCTCTGAATGTAACAGTTTAAACATTGAATATCAGAGAATAAAACCTGAACTTCAGAAGTCTTCTTATGCCAAAAGTAAATTTTCGGCAAAACATTTAATTGACTTCAATGACGAGTCTGATGCAGAGCGCTACGATAAATTCTCATGCTTATTATAAAATAATCATTTTGGGGTGTGGGTGGGGTGGGTGTGGTTGTTCGTTGATCTCCTTATCATCTATAACCCACACCCACACCCTCAATGGAGAATATATACTAATATCAACACGTATAAAAACTAATGATGATGACCGTGCACATGATTTAGTTCCAACAGACAAATGGCAACCAGATAGATCGCTTATGATACTTGATATAGATTCTTACATACCTGATGGAATTTATCCTTCTGTCACTATTGAATTCTCTACTTAAGATACCAATCATTAACATGTACCACTTCTGCTCAATAAATTTGGCTATAGTACCTATCGGGGATCGTAACATTTATTAAATAGTCCATTTCTTGTCTTCTTCATTTAATGAATAACAAAATAAATAATTAGATATGTTTAATAAAGTAGTTTTAAATTCAGATTCTGTTCACATTTCGAATGCCTCTTGATTCGTCTTTAAATAAATGAGTATTATCAATACGTCGCTCATATACTGATTTTTAATAGATAAAATGATCATAAAAACAGACAATTATTTTTAAATATATTTTAGTTTCAAATATTATTTCACTCTCTTTAGTATCATATTTTGAAGCTACCCCCAATAAGAGGGTGGGTGTACAGGAATAGAGTACTCACACCATAAATGAACTCATACCCTAATATCATCGTATATCGAATTATTGATATCCACATGAATAATTGTAAATACATTCCTCTCATGCAAAATCTCACACGACAAAACTGATTATTTCAACTGTAAAATACTTAACTGAAAAATCCCATCGAATACATTTGAATATATACTAAACTCAATTGAGTATTCACTTGTATTAATCTATGTAACAGATATAGCAACAAAACAAACACTGCCAATTCATAAATAAGACCAATATGAATCACCAAGCTATCCAGATCTTCGGTTTATCTAAATTAATCAAAGTCAAATACCACTGACACATAACCTAATGAATAAATATGTTTCATACAAGAAATCGAATATTTCACTTATCTCGAACGAAATAAGTATCATAACATAAAATATAGGAAAATAAATAATTTTTTTCTATTTCTTTTTCAACCAATTATCAAAAAGAAATCTTTGGACTTATTTTACGAAAAAATTTGTAGTTACAGATTATCTCTACGTCGAAAAATCTCGAATCTATCCATGATCCAATGTTTATCTCTAGTACATTGTCAAAGTCAAGATCAATATTCTATTCAATGCTTCAATTAACCGTTTGAAAGAAAACGTTGACCCAGATGATAATACAGATACATTTCTAGAACTACTTATATGAAATATCATTATTATTTTGTGACGACATTTCAGTCATGTTAATCTCAATAAATGTGAAGATAAATTTAACTGGATTTTATAAAATGGATAATGCACGCATCATCTTAAATTCTTATCATACTAATACTGATGTTATGTATTCTACTTCTTTGATAACAACTATTCATATTTATAAAAAAAAAAGAGAGTGGAGACTTTATGTACAGTATCTATCATAAAAGTGCAAAAGTTCACAATTGAAAAAAGAATATCATCAGGCTTCTTAAATCTGATATTACAGTATAACCACACGAATATATTTCACTTGACTTGTGTGTTTTTTTTTCGACAAGTCACATTTAAAAAATCATCCGCTCATCTCTGATTGATAGTATTTAATGACATGTATGATTGAACACTATTTTTCTTAAACATAGAAAGGCAATTTTAAATATTCTTAAAATAGAACTATTTGAATACAAATTTGGTTAAATACTGAAGACAAGAAAAAGTCAAAGTCCATTAGTATGTTTATTGTTGAAGTATAGAAATAATATTATTAGATTTCATCTGTATAGCAATATCTAAAGGAGAATATCCCCAACGATCTTTATGATTAATTCCATGATAACCTAAATGAATAAGAAGTTGAATAACATTAATATGTCCATAAGTTGTAGCTAAATGCATGGGTGTTCGTCCATCATAATCAGCATATAATTCTTGTTTTACAAAATATCCTCGATTGAAAAGTGTTTCAATTCGTTGTGCATTACCTGATGCAGATAACGTTAAAAACAGAAAAATTCTTTTCCATTTATTTAAAATTGAATCGATTGTTTTATATTGTAAATTTATTTCATATTCAATTGAATTATTTTCTATAGATAATAAATGTTCTTTAATAAAATTAACTATATGATTATGTTTATAAATAAATGCGTAATCTAATGTTGATAAATTCCATCGATCTTCTCGATTAATTATTTGTTGAAAATAAGATTTTGAACAAGATGTAGATAAATATTGAATTATTTCAAACTGACCTTTAATTGCAGCTATATGTGATAAACAACGATTATCATAATCAAAATAATCAAATATTTTTAAATTTGGATATTGATGAATAAAATTTGATAATTTATCTATAGTATTATCATCTGTACTAATAGAAAGAAGATAAGGTAAAAGATTTTGTTCTAAATTTAGCGAAGAAATATTATCTTCATTATTAATTTGTTCATTTGAATCAATTTTTGTAACTATTTCAATATTTTTATTAAGAGTTATTTGATTGTTTGTATCTAATAAATAATGTGCTATAGCATGTTGTCATAAGTCTAATGCATATTCATATGGTGTTTTATTTAAATGATCTTTTATATTTAATGAAATTGATGTTTGTTCAACTAAATAACGAACAATATTCAAATTATTTGTATGAACAGTTAAATGTAAAGAATATCTTCCATCATAATCAGTTTCATTTGGATTAAAACCTAATTGAATTAAATATTTTATTCCATCAATATAATTTTCATAAATAAATGCATTTAAATAAAACGATAATTCTTTATATTTTGTTGATGAAAATCTTCCGCCATTTACATAAATATAATTTGTTACATTTATATTTCCATTTATAAATCCATCATATAATGGTGTTGAACCAAAATTATCAATTGAATTAACATTTATTTTAACTTTTTCAATAAGCCATTTGGATATTCTTAAGTAACCTTGACATGCACTTATATGAAGTGGAGTCCGATTCGTAAAATCCATATAATGAATATTAGTTAAGTTTTTAAATAAAATTTTCAATTTTTTCAAATCCTTTCGAAATGTATATGTTGACATTAATATTGGAATAAATTCTTTTTCTATTTTTATTAATTCAATATTTGTTATATCTTCATTTAAAGATGATATTATTGAACTTAATTTATTCAAATATTTAAATTCATTTTTAACATAATTTGAAAGACGATATCTATATAAATGATCTTCAGATATATTACAATCTGATAATTTAACAGGTATTAAATGTTTTGTTGGAACCATTAAACAAAATATCCAACAAATAAAAGTAAATGGAAATGTTAATGTTGGCATACCACATGATGATAAAAATGATGATAATGCTCCTTGAACAAATATTGTTAATATTGATCCTAATAATGTAAATAACCATATGTGATATCCATATAGAACTAAAAACATGCCACCTAATGCTTGACATGTTAATACTGCATTATAACCCCATAAACCATTATAAATTGCTTTTGCAGGTAATCCTAGTACATAAGCTGCTGTTAATTGACCTGTAACAGCACCAAATAATGCAAAAAATGCAAGAATTCGAGAACAAATTGCAATACCAATAATAATAATCGCACCTGTACAAGGATTTTCAATGAAAAAAACTTGTCCTATACTTGCAAAAAAACCAACAAAATTATCTCCAATTGCATAACCAGCAAACGATATATTAAGTAATTGAGGTTTATCGACAACTGTTGTTAATAATGTTGGATTTAATATATTACCATTTATAAAATAATATCGATATTTAAGAGCTCCAAGAAGCCATATCCAACTTGAAACTTGAAAACTAAATGTAAATGGTGGAATACCAAGACGATGAACAAGAATTTTTGATATTGCTTCATAAAATATTGTTGAAAATATACTCATTATTATTACAAATGGAATTATTTGAGGAGACTTCGAAAATGTAAAATAAGCCATAGCCATTCCTGTTAAACATCCATTATAACCATATAAACCAGTTCGAATTGAATTATAATTAAAATCAAATAAATGAGCAGTGATTGTTGAACATGTTGTTCCGAGTATTGCATAAAGTGTTAATTCCCAATTTCCAATAAATAATCCAATGGTTATTATTATACCTGATAATGGATTATTAGCAAACATAACTTGACTTATACCACGAAATATTGAATCAATTAATATTAATAGAAATTTTAATCGTTGAAAATTTTTCATAAAATTATCTTGTCGATAAATATTATCAATATGTGACATGGATCCAATAATTGATCTCCAACTTAATTTTTCTTTATTGATATTCGTATGATTTTCATCTTTATAAAGAATATTTTCTTCAAATAAAGACCAAATCTTGCTATTTGATTTTTGCTCATTATCATTTGAAATAAAATTTGATACGTTATTATTTATATATTCTTTGTTCATTTTTAATGCTTCCAATGATACAGTTTCGTTTCTTGAACTTATCACTAAAATAATTAAGTTTTTATTTATATATATATATATATATATTTAATTAGATATAATCATACTTGGATCTGTTTCAGTCGATGCTTGTTGCTCAGATAAGTAATTCATTGTTTCTCATTACTAAATATAATGTTATTTATTTCATATATAATATTTATTCATCCAACTTGAATATTAATCTAAATGTAGGAAATAGTCTATTAGATGCGTCTCGAGAGTTTCCTTGGCAATTGCATTAAATGGAAGCATATGAGATATGCGATATACAAAACATATACGAGAGAGTTAGAGCAGATGTAGCAAATATAGGAGACATGGAAGATAAAGGAGATCTAAGTGATATAACAGGCATAGGAGATATAGAAATTGATTCTTTCGAACAAAGAATTAGCAAATGCCATCAATATATTTTATGGATAATGTTTACATTGAAACAATATGTTCCATGATTAGCTCCATCAGTTAACTAATGATTCGTTATTCCATACATGTCTATATTTCCAATACGTACAATGTTTAATTTAGTTTCTGAGGAAACTCATAGAATGCAACATATGTGGTAACCTTCAAAAAAATTAAGTGAGATCTTGGTTTACGAATAGCTTTTCTCTCTATGTTTAGTTTATTTTTTCGTAACAATACAAAAATTTACTAAATAATCAACAAACATTATGAAATCTACAGAAAGCTTTTGTTTAATCGAACATTTAATTTTTACTTGCGTTATTATAATTTCTAGCTGAGTATCATACTATTGCTGTACATCAGATTCTTGCAAACGATTATTATATGTTATCTGCGCAAGTTCTTATACCTTATTGCTAAGTGGCGATAAACTTGTATTTTATCTTATAAATCTTTTTCTAAAGAAAGAAATAGCGCCATAAGAGTTTTAAAAGTAAAAATAATCTAAGATTCTTGAAAAGTATTCAAAATAATTGAATTCAACTCGCCGACTTTCACCTTGAAATTTTCATGGACAATACTTCTCTTTTTTTCGTCAAATATTTGAGTTTGACAAGATTGTTTTTAATTATATTCTATAAATAAATATCTTTTATATTATTCTTCAATATTGTCAATTATTAGTCTAATAGATAAATTCTCTACGATCTATATGTATGATTTTACAATACAACTAATAGCAAAATCTGTATGAGATCCAGATATGTACCTGGGGGTGTTGTATCGTACTTCCCACTTATACTTCATGTGCAAACATGATTTTATTATTAGAAAAGAAAACAATATGAAGATTTTTGTTTATTTGAGAATGTATTTTTTACGCTTAATGCTTATCTATCATTTTGATGTAATCTCAAATGAAATAAATAGACATATATTGTATAATAAATTTTTTTTCAGGTCATAAACAATTTTATTAAATTTCGACTTGGATACAATAATTTTCCTAAGAAAAATAAATCTAAATGTAATAGTCACCTACAATCGTTGAATTGTATTAATGATGCAGATTCTCAAATGAAGTGTATTTTTTTATTCATCAAAGGAGAACACGAAAAACATTATCATGCTAAGGTTTCTTTCTACATTTATATTTTAACTTGTTTTGAAGTTATTTTATTCTTCTGCACATTTTACTTCGTCATAGAATTGAAATTGAACAAAAAATTATGCATTCAATCTTTTATTAATCAAACAAAAGAGAATAACTTTTTTTGGGCTCTGGATAAATTTCGATCTTGGGTGTGAATGCTTACAAAGATTAATCATGCATATGCATATGCCATAATATTCTTTTTATTTTATACGAGATGTATGTGATTCAATATATATAATGAAAATTTAACAAGAGAAGTGTTTTTATTAAAATATGACAGATAAATATAAAAAGATAATTCAGAGAAAAAGTGAAATTTACTTCATTTCAACATTTACACAATTGAAACATCTTAAAAATACTAATTCCATATTAGTAATGTTTATTGAATAAAAATGTACAGTTCAAGTTAGCATTTGAATACAACTTTCTTTAAATAAGAACTTTTTTGTTTTGATGTTAATGTAAATAGTGCAAGTTTTGACATTTTAAATCAATCTCGTTCTATTCATCATAGACTAAAGGTTTGAAGAAAGATAAGAAATCGATTTCGTTTGTTGAAGAACGCATAAAAATACAATTGGTTTCGTAATCATATAAAACGAATGAAGACAATATTGGATTTCGTTATGGTGCAATTACATATAAATGTTTTATTAATGTCATTTCAAGGCTGAATTCATATGTTTCAAAGGAAAGAATAAGCATTAAACAAAAATTTTTAATTTTTTTTGTATTCGATTAAAAGTAAAAAGAGAGTATGGACATAAATGATTGGATGAAACTGTAGTAATAGTTATGAATTTTCTTTCTTCATCTATATCCGTACATTCATACTTCCAAATTAATAAAATTACCGAATGGAATATTCAGTTGGATTGATATGAGAAGTATGAGTATGATCTCATGCTTCGCCTTCATAGATGCAAGTTGTTTCAAGTATCTTTCACGTTCAACAAAATGATTTATTTACGTAATAAGTCGAAGTGCGGTTGTGGATTCATTTAGAAAAGAATTATTTTACGTGAACATAACATTAGCTTTTTCGCGACGATATGAGCCATTGTGATTGCTCATACTATAACGTTCAGCGGTAGGACAGTCATAAGAACAAAATATCCTCAGGAGAAAATCTCAAGTAGATCTATCGTTGGTGCTGTAACACTTTGTAGTGTGGGTGTGGGTGTGGGTGTGGGTGTGGGTGTGGGTGGGTATGGGTGCGGGTGTGCGTGTGGTGTGACTGCGGTGAATATGGGCTTCGCTGACTCTGTTCTTTACAGTGATACCAACACAGCCATATCCACACACCCACACCCTAGGTTTGGCGGCACGCG